GCAGAGGCAGGAGGATGGCAAGTTCAAGAGCCAGCCTGGGCTACATAGTGAGACCCTGTCTAAAAAAAAAAAAAAAAAACAACAAAAAACCCCTTCCGAAATATAAAAAACCTCAACAAAACAAAAAGCATTTCTTCTAAGTTGAATTTATGAACATCAAATTATTTATGCTATTCCTTTATAATGCTGCAGGATTTATAATTGGAGATTTGTCTCTTTTATCTTTTTCATCATTGTGTCTTGCCAGAGATTTATCAATTTTATTCGTTTTTTTCAGAGACAACTTTTTGTTTCATAGTTTTTTTATTTTTTATTTATTGATTTATGCTCTTTTATCTTCTTGCTTGTGCATGCTTTGGGTTCATTTTCTTCTTCCTTTTCTAGTTTCTTGAGGTAGGAACTTGAATTATTGATTTGATTCTTTCCCTTGTTTCTAATATAAGCATTTTGTGCTGTAAATTTCCCTAAGCACTTCTTTGGCTGCATCCCATATATTTTAATAGGCTGAATTTTAATTTTCATTTAGCTCTATATGTTTTTAAACTTCCCTTTGAGATCTTTTCTTACCAATGGATTATTCAGAAGTGTTTTGTTCAATTTCCAGATGTTTGCTCATTGCCCTTTATTTGTAGTTTGATTCCATTATGGTTCAAGAATATACTTTGAATTCACCTCATATAAATTTGTTAAGGTATATTTTATGGCCCAGGATATATGCAAATTTGGTTAGTGTTTTGTGGGAGCTTTAAAAATGTGCGTTCTGCTGTTGTTGGGTGGAATGAGATGAGCAGCAGAAATGAGTAGGCTGCTTAGATATGTGTAATCTGCAAATGTACCTTGACTAAAAATTGTTTCTTTTTTTTGGGCAGCATTGCTCCTGCTTTACTAAGACAGGCATCGTATGGCACCATTAAAATTGGGATTTATCAAAGCTTGAAACGATTATTTGTAGAACGTTTAGAAGGTCAGTATACTCACATCTCTTTTACGGTCATCCTCAAAGGGATTATTGATTGGTGGCCTGCCTTGCAAGCGCAAGGACCTGAGTTCAATCCCCCATACTAAAAAAAAATGGGGGGATTATTGGAATTGTGCCTGAAGAAATGATGCCTGGAGAATGGAGGATAATCACTGCAAGGACAAAGTGAGCTTGTACTTGGGATAAATCATTGCAGAGATGATATATGAGTTACAGTGATCTACTCTTCCAATTTGTTCTCTTCCTGTCAATAAAAAAGGGTTTCTGCCGGGTGTCGTGGTGCATGCCTGTAATCCCAAAACTCTGGGAAGCTGAGACAGGAGGACTGAAAGTTCAAGCCCAATCTGGGAAACATGGTGACTTAATGAGAGACGCTGTCTCAAAATTTAAAAAAAAAATGGCTGGGGATATAGCTCAGTCCAACAGCCCTGAGTTCAGTCTGCAGTACCATTAAAAAAAAAGGCTTCTGATCATCCCAGAGGAATATCTGTCCAGGAAATTAATGTTGTCCTCATCAATACGGCATTTTGAACTATGAAGCATTTTCTAGCTCCCAATTTTGGTAAATGTTTGTTAGGTAGATTAATTTTAGGCTATTAAGTTCTAGATTCTGATGTACCTATGGCTACCTTATACACATTCAGCATTATCGTATGTCTCTCTATTTGCTGTCACAGCATTTTCAGCTTGATATATACTAAATGGTTATTTTACTACAGACCTGGGGCTATTGGATGGTTGGGAACAGCTGGAGAGCCATTTAGTAATGTCCTTTGAATCAGATTATTGTCCTGAGTCAGCTTTTCCGGAGCCTCTTTGGAAATCCTGAAGGTTTCCTTCCACCTCTTCCTGAAATAATGTCCTTTCATAAATTCTTAACTTGAATTTCCTTTGCTTCTGTTTGTAGGTTCTTCATGGTGGGGAAGAGTGGTGAAGATTGAATTTTTCTTGTAGAACAATATGCTCTGTGGTTTCTATGTTCTTCTAGCTGGTGGGATTTGTTTTGAATGATTGCCTTCTGGAATGAGGCCCAGGGTCTTTATGCTTTCCTAATATGCTGAGGCCCTGAGTTCAGTCCCTAGCATTATGTAAATAAACAAATAAATCACTGCTTTTTCACATTTGATTACAGAAGCCTTCTGTAAATAAGTAGAGACTAGAAGAAACCTAAGGCCAGTCAAAATTAATAGTTAGATGTAAGATTCTCTATTAGACAAGATTTTATCTTTTAACATTCAGTTGCTGAATTTTTAGAGTAGATGACTATCCATAAAAAGACATAAAATATATACTTTTGGTATTTGGAGCAGTTGAGGCGGAAATACCACATTGTGAATCATGTGGAATACTGACAGTTGTGTAGAATAGGGCACATTCCCGTGCCTTTTAAAAATACTTTTTAGAAATAATGATTTATATTTTATAATTTTTATGTGTTTGGTACAGAATTGTGATCTAGGAATATTTGAGTTTCTTTATGTTCTTGCTTTCATAAGCTTTGTAGTTTATCTCTGAAGTGCTATTTCTGATCAAGGTTTTTTCTTCCTCCCATAGCTCAGTATTCTGTTTTCAGAAACTAATGCCTAATAACAAACAGAACTTTTCTATCCTTTTTACAGATGAAAATCTTCTAATTAATATGATCTGTGGGGTAGTGTCAGGAGTGATATCTTCCACTATAGCCAACCCCACTGATGTTCTAAAGGTAAGAGAGATGTCTGCAGTATGATTTCAGAAGAGCACAAGCTTTATGATAGTTTTGGGTTTAATCCTTTTTTTGGGGGGGTAACTGGGAATCGAACTCGGGACCTCGTGCTTGCGAGGCAGGTGGCAGCACCACTGAGCTAAATCCCTGGCCTTATTTTTGGATTTAAATTTCCACTCTGTCTGTTGTCAGCTATAAAATCTTGGGTAAATCATTTGCATCCAGCCTCAGTTTCCTCATTTGTAAAATGAAGATAATGAAGTTCTTATAACATAGAGTTGTTAAGAATCAGAGATACTGTGTAAACTGGCTAACATTGTACTTGGTAGTAAGTGCTCAATAAATACACATAATAGTCTATTATGATATGCATTAATTCATTGGTCTTCAAACTGGGACATGGAAACCTCTAAGGTTATTTTTTTTAAGGGCTATGCAGTTTTAAAGGCATTGGTTTCTATATCCCTTACTTCCATTTGTATTCTCATTCCTAAAACTGGCCTAAGAATGAATCTGCATTGCTAATGGCTCTTTTCCATTTTACTAAAGAAAAATATGTCTCTTACCCATTCCAAACCTTCATATACAGTAATATGCTGGCCTGAGGTGTAACCTTGAGAATCAAGCAAGGAATAAATTGAAATACAGTTTTGGGGAGTAGCTTTCTTTAGTAACTGGTTTACCTTAAATCTGTACTGCCTTTCTCTTTTCCTGTTTTATCCATGTTTCTATTAAAAGTGAGACCTGGCATTTAAAATGATATGTTTTGACCTGTGTGTGGATATTCTAAATTTGGGATGAGAACACCATGGGTTAGTGGTCTTCATTTATTAAAAATATAATTGAATTTCTTTAAGGTTTTGTCAAATCACAGAATGAAACACTTAATATCAATATTCATCTTACTTTATCTCAGTGATATTATTTATTAACATTTAAGAGCTAAATATATGACTAAAATATGTGAGGATTCAGAGGTTTTAATAATTGTCTCAGGTGGGAATATGAGAAAAATGAAAGAGGACACGTGCTTGATTTCAGAGGTGATGAAACCACAATTGGCTAAGTTAATGAAGAAGAGATCTGCAATTCAGAGTTCTGACAACTTAGAAAGTTGAAAAAAAATAAACATGAGAGAAGCCCCTGGTGGTTCAGGGAGAATAGATAGGAAATAATATTTCTGAATTAGAGTAATTTAGCTACAGTGCTTTTATATCTACTTTGAATTTACAGAACAAGTATTTATGAAGAGAACTGACTATTATAAAACTCTAGAATTGTTTAAGTATTATACGTATTTGGGGGATCCTGGGGATCGAACTCAGGACCTTGTGCTTGCAAGGCAGGCACGGTGCCACTCAGTTAAATCCCCGGCCCTGAAGTATTGTATTTGTTAGAATGTGCTTTTCAAGAAAAAGAAAGTTTAACTCCCTGAAACTTCTTTTTTTTTTTCTAGAACCACTACAAGCCTTTATTGTAGGGACAATCTGCCAGGCTGTCTCCGATCAAAGGAGAGAGAGCAATATGGCAGAATAGAGAGCTTCTTTTATAGGACTGGGGTGGAGTTAAGTGAGGTAGTATTAAGGGTTGGAGGAGTCTGTAACATCACTAGGAAGGGCTTGTGACATCACTGGTTACTCGGAGGTAGCAAGTATCTGGTTACTTTTTAGTTGGTGAAGAGGCATCATGGGAAGAAGAAGGCTGTCCTTTGGTAGGTAGGAGAAGCCTTTTTTTTAGGTGAGAAGCAGGGCAATATGGTAAGAGGAGTAACAGCCATCTTAAAGTGAGGGAAATCTTAACATTCCAGGCTTTTGTTTTATGGTTATTTGGTGAAGGTCTCTTCTTCTGGAGCTGCTTCAAGCTGACAAAGGGGCGAAATTTGGGGCTAAACCTGGATCCAGTGGGGCCAGCAGTAGGTGGGGTCTTCTTCCCTCTGCCGAAGTGACTGGTACCCTGCCATGATGAATTCTGTGACTGTCTGGTTGGTAAATGCCCTCATGCATTCCTGCAAGAAATTTTGAAAACAGCGAAACTCCCTGAAATTTCTTTGTTATCCTTTTGCATCCTAGACTCCATCACCTAAGTGATTCACTTCAATTTCTTGTCCCTCTGACCTCTCTGGCAAAATTACAAGCATTGACCAATGCTACTATCTACCTTTTCCTTTCTTGTATCTTGGTGTAGGACTAAGTGATGCCGAGCAGAGAGAAAAAGTCACAATTTAAACTGGGACTGTGCCGATATGATTTATAAAAGCATTGGGTTGTTTGAAGGTTAGGTGCAGTGGCACATGCTTGTAATTCCAGCATTGGGGAGGCTGAGGTTGAGTTGTGGTCAATCTACTATATAGTGAGGCCCTATCTAAGAAAATACTGGGTTGTTTCATCTTTTCACTTACCCTTGAACATCTTTTTCCTATCCTCAGAGACATCATTAAGCCTTCCTTTTATACTGTTGCTCTTTCTCTCAGCAGATAACTGTACTTCCTGTGGATTCACCTTCTACCTCTGAACCTTCTGCCTTTTCCACTCTTTGTCTATAAATATATTTAGTCATACTTGTGTGTACCATGTCTCTACTGTAGTGATTCTCAAAATGTTTTTCTAGACCTGCAGCAATATTACTTAGGAATATGTTCTTAGGTATCCCACACTTAAGGAATCAGAAAGGGTGAGGTGGGGCCAGCAGTGTATGATTTTTTTGGGGGTGCTTTGGGGAATCGAATTCAGGACCTTGTACTTGGGAGGCAGGCAGCGGCACCGCTGAGCTAAAGCCCCAGCCCCAGCAGTATATGTTTTGACAAGCCCTCTAGGTGATTTTGATAAATAATCAAGCTTGAAGCCATGGCTTTATTCTGTTCTTATTCACTAGTCAGCTTTCCTTATCATATATCCTCTTTCTTTCTTCTCTGCAGCCTCTTCTTCTCTACTAGTTAGCTCCTCTCAAATGATAAATGTGTTAAGTTCTGTCTGTCATAAAATACTTTCTCCTGACCCTCTGCACTCCTCAAAATGCCACCCCTCTCTCTTTCCCTTATCCAGATTTCACAAAAGAGTAGTTCTCATCTTCAGTTTTCTCCATAACCTTCTATAATCGTGTCTACTAGCTTGAAACGACTCTCCCCAGGGTCAGCAGTTGTGTCCACATTATCCAGTCCAGTGGGCATTTTAGTTCTCAACTTATTTTGACTGATATCTCCTGCTTGAAGATCTTTTATTTTGATTCTTTTCCTGTGGTTCATGCTCCTTAGTTTTACATGTGGCCTTCTTTTCTTCTGCACACCTTAAATGTTTTTCTTCCTCAACCCAAAGTTCCAGCTTTGACTCATTTCTCTTCTGTGCTCTCTCCCTGGTTGACCCTTGTTCTTTTTATTTTCTTTTCTTTCTTTGAAGTACTAGGGATTGAACGCTGGCCCTTTGTACTGCTCTACATGCCTAGTCCCTTTTTAATTTTTAAATTTTATATGCTTGCATTGGCAGCACATATTAATTTTTAAATTTTATGACAGGATATCATTAAGTTTCAGCTTGAACTTACAATTCTCCTGCCTCAGCCTACTGCAGTGCTGGGATTATAAGCATGAACAAACATGCCAAGCTGGCCATTCTTGTTTTTAAGACTTTAGCTCTTGCTCTGTTGTTTAAGGTATAGGCTAAGCTGTAAAAATGAAACTGAAAAACGCTAGATTTCAAACAAGATAGGAGATGATTTTCCCTTCATGTAATAGGCTAGAGTAGTTTGTTCTGGTGAGTGGGCCTACCCTACCTAGTTATCTAAGTCCAATGTTCCTTCATTTTTGTGGCACTCCTATCTCCTAGTGCAGAGTTGGCAAATAACTGTGTGGGGACCAAATCCAACCTACAGTCCATGGTAAGTAAAGTTTTATTGGCACACAGCCGCGCTATTTCTGTGTTGCCTGTGGTTGCTGTTGTGTTTCTATGGCAGAACCAAATAGCTGTGACAGAGGCTATAAACCCTATGAAGCCTGCTATATTTACTGTCTGGTCCTTTACAGAAAGTTGGTTGACACCTACCCTGTGGACCTGTTTTAATCTGTATAGTTGACATTGGGCCACCATCACCCCTATTCTAGCCCATGGGAAGATAGAGTCAGGGAAAAGCAATTTTTGCTTTGTCAAAAATAAAGTCAGATTAAAATTTACTATACAGTAAGAGAGTACATATCACGATCCAGAGACTTCAAACCAATTGATAGGAGGTTCACCTTCTAGCCATTGCAGCACAGTTGTAATGCATAAAGGAGGAAGTATAGCCATCCCTCAGTATCCACAACAGGACTGGTTCCAGGACTTTGACACCCCCACATAGCAAAATATTTGGATGCCCAACTTGCTTATATAAAGTGGTACTGTATTTGCATATAACCTATGCATATTTGCACGTACGCTTTAGATCATTTCCTCATTACTACTTATAATGCCTAATGTATTATAAATGCAATATAGTTATTATACTCTGATCCAAGATTGTCAAGGAGAAAGTCTTATCTGTGTTCAACATAAATGCAAAAATTTCCCGAATATTTTCAGTTGTTTGAATTATAGATGCAGAACTGCTGATATGGATGGCTGACTATATTTTGAACTTTTCAATTGGCTGTTATACATTGTCATTCTTTTCAAGACAAACTGAGCTGTTTAAGATGATTTGTCTGTAACTGATTGGTTTCACTTCATTGAATCATGCTGACAAGGATGTAAAGCTTATATTTTGGGTTTATTATTAGAGATTGTATCTTGGAAAAATCAGCATAATTTAACTTTTGGGTGATGGGCAGTTGGTCTTGGGGTCTATCTCAATGGTGGCCTTCTATTTTTTTGTTGTTATTTTTTTGGTCCTGTGGATCGAACTCAGGACTTTGGCCTTCTATTTTTTTAACAGTTTAAATCTTTATGTAGCTTTTGATAAACAATTTCTAGTATACAAAAAAATAAAGAAAAAGTATAATATAGTGACTATTCTGTATGTATCACTTACATTGACTTGCCTTGTTCTAGTCCTAGCTCTGTGTAGGAATCACCGCCTAGAAGAAATCTTCTACTTACCATAGGGTAGTTTTGATTTGCTTTTAGGATATTCTGCATCTTGATTTAATTGAGTTTAGGTTTTTACTTTAAAACTCTTAGTAGTACTGGTTAACTTCTTACATAAAAGCATATTGCTAGTGCATTACATAACAAGGCCATTTATTGAAACCTATAATGCTTTATTTGTGCTGATGAAAATAAAAAATCAGACCTACATTTGGGCTACTAATTTTTGTGGGGGTTTTTCCCTCTTTTTTGTGATACTGGGAGTTGAACCCAGGTTCTTTGCACTGAGCTACATTTCCACCCCTTTTTATTTTTTATTTTGAGGCAGGGTCTTGCTAAGTCACTAAGTTGCCCAGGCTGGGTTCGAAGTTACCATCCTCCTGCCTCAGGTTTTTAGAGTGCTGGGGGCCACTAGTATGTAATGACTAAGTACAGTGATTCTATATGTTTGGACTCTGTGGGAAATTATACCAAATCTTTTACATGGCTATCTAATGCTATATTTTCTTTCTTCCAGTGCTCAAAGGCCATTTGACCAAATATAGTATTATGCTTTTTACAAATAAAACTCAATTTAAGGTCCTGTGAACATAAAATTATATTTAAAAACATTTTTACTTTTTATAATTATGTAAGAAGTGCATGTTCAGTGTAGAAGGAAATGAAAGGCAGAACAAAAAACACAAAAGAGAACAATGCCCACTTGTAACCATATCTTTCAGACATGAATCACTGTCATTGTTTGGGTATATATGTTTGCACTTGCGAGGCAGGTGGCATTACCGTTGAGCTAAATTCCCAGCCCTACGTGTTTTTAATAATATTAATACACATACTGTTGTGCAGCTTTTTCTATTGAGCAATTTTTTTTACATTTTCCAATGCCAGCAAATATCCTACAAGAACATTTTATGATTCCATAAAATTTTTCATTAAATGGATGTCATAATTTATGTAATCTGTTATTGTTTTTAATTTAATCATAAAGAATTATTTTCTACATTCACTGAACATTAGTTCTTTGCCCCAAATTTTCTTCCATCTTCAGAAATGATGAATTTAGTATGCAGAATGGGAGGCTAATGAAAATCATCTTTAAAAACTACTATTTGACACACATTATTTCTGTATATGGTTTACTGTATTAATTTCATAATAGAGATTTTCCTGAAAATTCTCCAACGTTTTTTTCTTAATTTTAAGTGAGTGAAATGTCTCATTTCAGTTCTTTCTGTCAAAATGTTCACTTCTTATTTTAGATTCGAATGCAGGCTCAAGGAAGCTTGTTTCAAGGGAGCATGATTGGCAGCTTCATTGATATATATCAACAAGAGGGCACCAGGGGTCTGTGGAGGGTGAGTACTCCTTCTGGTATTGTGCTATACTCTTCAGTTCCCAGAATTTGCACGGAATATTTTTTTATACAAAGCCACAGAATTGTGACTTCTAATTCTCCAAACAACATGAGAAGCTCCTTGTCACCTGTGAAAGGACCAAAAGGTTATCAGTGGTTTTTATTTCTTCGTAATATTGGGGGATTATATTGTGGGAAAAGTTATTACATTATTTGAGATAGCCATTCTGATTTGCACAACTTCATAGTGAATTTAGTTCATCAGTATATTTTTTTGCCAGTTTTGTGCTAGTGCTTATGTTGAAAAGTTGTTACCTAAAACAACTTTTTTGTGTGGTATTGGGGTCAAACCCAGGGCCTCACTTATACTAGGCAAACACTCTACCACTGCATTGCACCCCTGGCTCAAAATAACTTATTTAACCTTGTAAAAAGTAAAAGATGTACAGGAAAATATTGAGAAAATACAGAAAATTTAAAAACAGTAGTACAGCCACCCAGAGGTAATTACTGTTAACATTTTCTCACATTATCTTCTTATCTTCTATTTATACTTTGCTTTTTGTTGTCATTGTTGCTGTGCCTTTTTAATTCATTCAACTCACAGAATATTTTAATAATAAGACCCGTAGTGGAATACCGAGGGGGGGGAGAAAAGAATGGGAAATCCATTAATATACTTCTGAAGAAAAATGAGGGCTTTGCTGTTTTTATTCTTTGTCATTTTCCACAACTACTTGTTATTAAAAAAATCTAAACATAAAGAAGAAAAGTTGAAAGAATTGAACTGTGAACACTACATACTTGTGACCTACATTAAATGATTGATAAATCCTGGCAATATTTATGTGTGTATATATACATATATACACACTTGTTTTGCTACTCTGTATGAAAGTAAGTTGTAGTCATTGTGGCACAGTAGATTGATACTTAATATCAAGCTCATATTAAAATTTTCTGTATTGATGAGACGAAGCTAGTTTTCTTATGGAATGTTCCCACGTATGTTTAACTTGTTCCTCTATTCGCTGTATTTATATACTGAAAGTTGAGACCATTGGCTTAATAATATTCACATTAAACTTTTTGGTGGAAAGCTTTGTAGGTGATGCTATGTATTTAATGCTGCATCACAGCAAGAGGTGCACAGTGTTAGGTTGCCCAAGGGTTAGATGTGCTAAGTTTAATTACTCAGTAAGTGAGGTCTTATTGTGTAAAAGGTTTTCCCTTTGAAATTACAAGTAACCTATAGGGTGTTACTCTACAATATGTATATATCCTAATACTTAATAACTGAACATAAGTGCTTTTATGATCTGGGCTACTTACATGGTTCAGGTACATAATGTAAAGAAGCAAAGTAAATTGTGTTATATGTTCTTTTTGAGACAGGATAACCTTTCACCTAGCAATTATATCATCCAGTAATGATTCTTGAGGTTTGCTTTTTGATAACAGCAGTGTGTACTTTCTTGATTAGTCTAATACTGTGATGGCAAACCTTGTAGAGCTTTCAATGATAAACAGCCTGATGCAGCATGTGTGCTGTAGGTTCACCACCACTGGTAAATCCAGAAAATAGAACTAACTGGAACTTTTTCATAGACAGATGCCAAGGGACAAAGACAAAGCAGTAGAGTTGGATATGTGGTCAGTGGAGCACAGCTGTTTTATTTTTTATTTTTAATTGTGGTAAATTTTACCACATAAAAATTTACTCAAACATTTTAAGTGTGTAGTTCAGTAGTGTTAAATACATTCACATTGTTGTGCAATTAGTCTCCATAACTGTTTTCATCTTGCAACACTGAAACTCTAGCTCTATTAAACTCCTGGTTTCTTTCTTTCCCCAGGCTGTGGCAACTCCTATTCTACTCTCTGTCTCTTAATTTTACTAGTCTAGATATTTCACCTTCGTGGAATCATATAGTATGTGGCTTCTATGGGATTTCACTTAGCATATCACAAGGTTCATTCATGTGGTAGCATGTGTTAGAATTTCCTTCCTTTTTAAGTCTGAATAATATTTCATTGTAAGTATATACTGCATTTGTTTATCTGTTCAACTATTGATAAAAACTGGGTGGCTTCAACCTTTTGACTATTGTGAATAATGCTGCTCTGTACTTAGATGTACAGATATCTCTTTGAGAACGTGCTTTCAATTTTGGGGGGTATATACTCAGAAGTGGAATTTCTGGATCATATGATAATCCTATGTTTAATTTTTTGAGAAAAAGAACATAGCTGTTTTTATGATCCAGGGTACTTGTATGTTCTAGGCATGAAGAATAAAGAAGCAAAGTATGTATTCTTTTGAGACAGACATTTTATATGCATATTAAATATATCAGACCATTTCTTTCATTTCAATAAGTAAATATTTTGTTTTTCTTTAGATACAGGGTCCTCATTTTATTTTTCTGCTATATTTGTTTTTGAGACAGGGTCTCACTATACAATTCAGGCTGTGTAGCTCAGGCTGGTCTCAAACTTAGAGCAATGTGAGCACTGGATTACAGGTGTGTGCCACACCCGGTTTATTTTCCTGCTTTGATATTAGCATGGGTACTGGAAACATTTCACTTTCTTAACTCTGTTAAAAGGGAAAATAGCAGGAGTGCAGTAACAAAGTGTAATTGGCACTGACTTCAGAGTTGGAGAGACAGTTTTGTGGTGAGGCCTGTGATGAACTGGAGAGCACCTGGCCTATTGAAAAAAGGGACTGCTGCTCCTCAGCTGTAGCCTGTTGCTGCCATAGTTGATGGTGAACCACGTGTGGCCATATTTTCTGGCCTGTTAAGAGAAGCAGGAAACCTACATTTCTGTGTGAAATATACTATTTTTTTCGTACATTGCCAGCTAATTGACTCTTTTAGAAATATTATGTGAGCAACCCAAATCATGTCTATAGCCTGAATTTGTCTAGTGAGTCCCATTAGGGCCTGAAAGTTCACCAAAGTGGTCTTATGGGAAGGCTATCCTCTTTAGCAGGATGAAGCACGTGGAGGAGTCAGAGAAGTAGGCAGTATTTTCCCAGATCAGCAGGATCAAGCATCTCAGCACAGCTATATCACTTCCACTTTATAAATCGAGTTTAAGAATTTAAATATAGTTTGGGAGTTGGACACTTTAATATGAGTTTTCTCAGAAAGCAGTTGTCACTATGATACATTATTTTCTTTTTTTGGTACCCAGGATCAAACTCAGGACCTTGCACTTGTGAGGCAGGTGGTGGAAGCACTGAGCTAAATCCCTGGCCCCATTATTTTCAGTTTTTAAAGTTTATTTTCCTTCATTCCCTGTATGCATTGAGGTATGATTAACAGAAATTGTACATAAGGGAAATAGTGTGCAATTTTTTAAATTTTTTATTTGTACATTTTAGATATACAATGACATTCATCATTGGAGATTTGTACCTTTACATAATATACCTTGATTCTTATTTTTCCCCATATCCTGCCCTCCCTTCAACCCCTCCACCCTTCCTATTTACAAAGACTTTGTTTCCATTTTTTCATTTTCTCATATTAATTCTAGTCCCCTTTTTCCCTTTCCATACCCCATTTCCCTTTCCCTTTGCACCTTTTCTTCCTATTTTACATTATGTATTATAAATTTTGATCCTTATTTACACTTTCAGGTTCTCACACCAGAGAAACTATTCGGTATTTACATGTGTGTCCTATTTATTTCACTTAAGAGTACCACCTCAATATGCATCCATTTAGCTATAAATGCCTCTAATTTTTCATTCTTTATGGCTGAGTAGTGTTCCATTATTAAAAAAGAAATACATTTTATTTATCCAGTCTCTAGTTGATGGGCAATTGGGCTGCTTCCATATTTTAGCTATTATAAACTGTGCCTCTATGAACATGGGTGCACATATATCACTGTGGTAGGATTCTTTTAATTCTCTTGGTAAAGATACCCAGCAGGAGATTAGTTGGGTCAAATGAACCTCCAGTACTAGTTCTTTGAGGTATCTCCATCCATACTGATTTCCACAGTGGTTGCATCTTTCTACACTTCCAGCAACAGTGGAAAAGGGTTCCTTTTTCCCCACAGCCCCATCAGCATTTGTTATTGGTTGATTTCATGATAGCAGCCATTCTTTGTGGGGTGAGGTGGAATCTCAGTGTTGTTTTCATCTGCATCTCTTGAATGACCAGTGATGTAGAACATTTTTTCATATATTTACTTGCTGCTTTTACTTTGTCTGAGAAATGTCTGTTCATTTCAGATGCTCATTTTTGAATAAGGTCTTTATATTTGGGGGGGCTGATTGTCTTGAGTTCTTTATATTTTCTAGATAAGAGCCCTTTGTCTGAGGAGCAAATGGTAAAAATTTTTCCCACATTGTAGGTTGTCTTTTGTTCTGTTGATGGTTTCTTTTGCAGTGCAGAAGCTTTTTAATACGATGAGATCCCAGTTGTTGATTCTTTCTGCTAGTTCCCGTGCTACTGAGGATTTGTTCACAAAGTAAAACACTCATGAAAGTATAAAAAACAGAAATGCATAAAAATGAAAGTTAACTTGTGTTTCCTAATCCCAGAAAAAAGTTTTAATGTATGTCTTATCCTTTCTAAAACATCTGGTGCATATAAATGTGTGTATACAATAATACTAAATATTTCATGTCTTTTGTCTTAGTTACTTTTCATTGCTGAGACAAAATACCCAACACTCAAAGTTAAAGGAGGAAAGATTTGCTTAGCTCACAGTTTTTAGAGGTTTCAGATCATAGTTGGCTGTCTTTAAGGCAGGGTGACATGGTAGAGGGTCATCACAGAGGAACCGTTCATGTTGGGCAGAAGGCAGCAAAACAGCAAAGTAGCAAAGCAGCAGCATGCAACAATAGTAGCCCTCTTTCCCTTATATTCTGTCTAGGCTACATGCCCTGAGGGTGGATAGCACTCATATCCAGGGTAGGCTTTCCCATTATTCACACCTAGAATTGTGCCAGACCTATCAGTGAACTCATTTAGTAATCACATACCTTTGATCCCAGCATCACATACTTAATCCCAGTATCATACACTGTAGATCCAGCAACCTCTGAAAATCCGCAACTGTGACCGCATGAGGCTTTGGGTGGACATTCATGACTGTTCAAGTGATAGTCATTGATTTGAAAGAACGGCCTCTATATTTCAGACTTAGATTTTTATTACACCTTTGAACTCTCAACCTATTTTTGTTCATTTTAAGACTTACGTCACTCTGTATTTCCTTAATGTCTAATGTCATTTGTGTTTTATAGGGTGTGGTCCCAACTGCTCAGCGTGCTGCCATCGTAGTAGGAGTAGAGCTACCAGTCTATGATATCACCAAGAAGCACCTAATACTGTCAGGAATGATGGGTGACACAATTTTGACTCACTTTGTGTAAGTAGTATAGATTATGTTCATTTTATATTTTTGGTAATTTGAGCACAAAAAGCCTTTCCTTGACACATCAGGTGGAACTGATAACTGGTACATATGGCCTTACTACCCTTGCCTCTCCTATTACAAGCAGTTTAAGACTTTTGAACATTTTATATTTCACACAGATCCCAACTGTTATAGGTTGTTCAGATACTTGGGAGCAGTGTATAATTAAATAGCCTACATGTTGTCTCTAGGATTGCATTTATTCAAACAGGACTCTATCTATTAAGCACATCTATTATTAGCGTATCAGAAATTCATATCAGAAAATAAACTTTTCTCAATGGTAATCAGAAAAAATGGCAAAATTTAGAATTTCTTAAATCTGATCACAGTTGGCTGAAAATTTGCTAATTTCATCTTGTATTTTTTTCTCATTGAGTTTATTGGTACATTTTAGGTATACAGTACAGTTACATTCATCATTGGGATCTTGTACCTTTCTATGATGTATCTTGGTTCTTATTTTTTCCCCATCCCCCTGACCTCCCTCCCTGCCTCCACCCTTCCCTATTTACAAAGACTTTGTTTCCATTTTTTTGTTTCCTCTCTCCTTCCCACTTTCCCTACTCCTTTAGCTCTTTATGATGTTTTGTTACTCAAATGCATTTGTTATATGATTCTGTGCTTTGAAAACTTTATATAACTAATAGTTGATGCTAAGACTGCCTGCTTCTGGATCTTGTTAGCCTTAAAAATTGTCTCCTTTAAAATAAAAGAGGTAAAGTTTCCTATTGAAAACTTAAGGGGAAATCTTTGCATGGTGTGTTTAGAAAAGATTTCTTTTCCCTTTAGATTTTTTTCCCTTCAGGACCGAGGATTGAACTCAGGACTTTGGGCTTGCAAGGCAGACATGGTATCACTGAGCTCAGTCACTAGCCCTTCTTTTTAGATTTTAATACAAGGGAAAGTGTCAGCGTTTTCTGATAAGTCTGAGTTTATTTTACCTTTATATTTGGCCTAATTTCTATTTAAGTGGAAGTGGGGGCAATCTGTCTTCTTAAAGTTTACTTCTTCAGTTCTAGCTTTACATGCGGCTTGGCTGGGGCTCTGGCATCCAATCCTGTTGATGTGGTGCGAACTCGCATGATGAACCAGAGGGCAATTGTGGGACATGTGGACCTCTACAAGGGTACTTTGGATGGTATTTTAAAGGTATGCATACTGTGGATTTGGGTTACATTTTTAGTTTTCTTTGATGTCTCAGACCTTTTTTCAGTCCTTATTCTTAGTTGCTATATGGCATTCTGAAGATTAAAGAACCATTGTGTGTATTTTTAGTGGCCTCTCAGAGTCATCTACAAGGTAGAAAGCTGTCTCTTTGGAAGTCTGCTGATTCACAGTGGTCATTAGTATTTTTTAATCCAATTTAAGTGCTTGAAGATATAAGATGCTTTTATTAAAGCTTTATGTAGAATTACCAATAGAAAAAACAACGTATCTTGCATGTTCACACTTTAGATAAGATAGAGATCCTGTAATAGAAAACTTGGCATTTAAACAAAAACTAAAAGCGTGGTACTTGATTGGGAGTTGTTCTGTTGTTCACAGTTTGCGTTGAAAGTTTCTGTTGTTATGTTTGTAGGAAGCCAAATGTTGTAAATGTATTATATAATTTGATGATATTACTACCACAGAAACAAATTTGGGCTAAAACATGACAGTGCTATTTCTCTACTGTTATCACTTTCATTGAACAAGTGTTTATTGTATATCAGGAATCATTTTAGTAGCTGCAGAGAAATTATAGCTGTTACAAAAGTGCTATAGGTGTACAAACAGATAAGCAGTACAAACTGGTAAGCGATAAACGCAGTGCTATGCAATAAAATTGTAGCCTAATTGGAGGTTTGAAATCAGCTCCCTGAAGATGGTGGTAAATTTAATAATAATTCACATCTGTTGAGTACTTTATTGTGTGCTCCGGTCCTAATGAGGCTTATGTATGCATATTCATTCATTCATTCATTTAATCCTCACCATTACCCCACAGGTAGATGCTGAAGCACTGAGGGATTTAGTAACCTGCTCAAGGTTTTCACAGTTAGTAAGTAGGAGTGCTGGAGTAGACAGGCCATTTGGCTTCCAGCTCACCTTCTTAACTTCTGTGCTGTGATTCATTCCTCATTTTGATGTTTAGGGTTGGCTAAGTTATAAAGGGCATTGAATGTTATACTATGTTTAGACTTTTTAAACGTGATGACAAATATTAAAAGCTTTGAATCAGGCCACATTTGCATTTTCAATAGATCACTGGCTTTCTGGAGATAAGTTCTATGACAATAATTCTCAATCTTGGGTGCAACCTGGAATCACTTGGCAAACTTTTACAGCTCATTTATTTTCCTTAGCTAATCAACTCATAGCCTGGGGTGTAAGATCCAGGTTTGGTATTTTTAAAACTTCTCAGGTGATTGCAGTGTTCACTCAAGGTTGAAGATCACTAGTCTAATGGTAAGCATGAAACTGTGGTTCTTAAAATATCTCAGAATCACCTGGAGGGTTTATAAAAATGCAGTTAGCTGTGCCCCATCTCCAGATTCTGATTCAGTAGGTCTTTTCCTTTCTAACAAGTTTTCAAAATGTAGTAATGCTGCTAGCCTGGCAATTACACTTTGAGAGCTATTGCTAAAGATAGGGAAGCTTATTGGGAAGGCTCTTATTCATAATCTGGGCAGGAGGGGATGAAAGCATGATCATGAGGATGCAGAAGGTAAGACAAATTTCAGAACAATTTAGTTGAATAAGTCAGTAAGAATTTGTTTAGATGATAGAGAGAGGCATGGGAAAAGGGAGGTGTTAAAGATAACTTCAGGGTTTTGAATGTGGTGACCAGATGGTGACTCATTGACAGAGACACAAGATGAGGATCAGGTTTTATGGGAGACATTGTAGTTTTGGACTCTTAGTTTAATGTGCACGAGGAACAGACAGTGGATATATATGGATATACTAGCTCTGAGTTGGGGAATTTCGTGGATATAGATAAGAGCCTGGGATCATTAGCAATACAGATGGTACATGACCAAGGAGAGCTGCTATAGGAGTTCACGACCATTTGTCTTCCTAGCACATTGAAGTAGTATACAGCTCTTTTCAGTAATAGTGATTCACTGAGGCAGTGATTCTCAGACCCCAGGGAATATACTGGTATTTGGCAAAAGTCCCTCTTGGTATTTCTGGCATGCTCCCCCCTCCATTTGACAGTCTCTGGTGTAGAGGGAAGAGTAACGTGCCTAGGAAAACACACTGGGGAAATCAGTTTTAAGGGTTTGGAGGTGAGGACCCCAAGAAAGACACTAAAAAGTAACATTTCAAATATATGAGGGTGGGCTGGGGATTTAGCTCAGTGGTGCCGCCACCTACCTCAGAAGCACAAGGTCCTAAGTTCCATCCTCAGTACCAAAAATCAAAACAAATCAAATACATGAGAAAACTTAGAAGAGTGATATCATGGAAGACAAGGGAATAATGAGTTTCAAGAAGGAATGCATGATTATTTATTTATTTGTTTATGTTTTTTTGAGACAGGATCTCACTAGCTATGTTCAAGTTGTCCTCACACTCACTATATAGCTCAGGCTAGCCTCAAACTCAGTGATCCTCCTGCCTCAGCCTCCTGAGTGCTGGGATTACAGGCATGTGCCACCACACCTGGCACTGAGTGATTATTTAATGTTACTTGCAGTAGACAAATTCAGTATGTTAAGGACTGCAAGGTGTGTGTTGGATTTGATACTTTTTATGGGAGGTTTGGTAAGTTAGGTTTGTAAATGCCAGTTTGCAGTGCACTGAAGATTATTTAACACATTCTCCCTGGCTTGCACCACTGGTAGTACACGCATGACTATCCCATCAGGTGGCTTGTACCACTGGTACTAGAAGTGATACAGTCATGCATGCAACAGTTATGCATGTACCACCAGTAGTTCAAGCTGCCCAACAGCGACACATGTGAATTATGGCCCCATCCATCGTGAATGTGTTAATCATTCATTCAGTATAAAAAGTTTGTGTCTTACGTGGTAGGCAGTGTTCTATGTTGGTGTGGATACATGATGAACAAAAAGTCCTTGCTTTTGACACTTAATTTTTTAAATGCTGGGACTTTTACCCAGGGCCTTGTGTATGCTAAGCAAACTTTCTGTCACTTAGCTACATTAGAACCTGCCACTTAAATTCTAATAGAAGGAGATAAACACATAGAAAATAAGGATAAAGTAGATGAATATAAATTACTCTTTTAAGAAATTTGACTAAAGGGCCGGTGATTTAGCTTAGTGGTGCCACTGCCTGCCTCACAAGTGCAAAGTCCTAAGTTTGATCCCTGGTAACAACAACAACAAAAAAGAAATTTAACTATGAAGAGATACTACAATAATATAGTAATCACTAGTATTTATTGAATGATTAGTCTGTGCCAGGCACTCTACATAGAATATATCTTTTAATTATCACAGTAGTCCTATAGGAAATATATTATCTTTCCTATTTTATAAATGATGAAACTTTGTATCAGAGTAGGTAAGTAATTTACCCAAGGTCACACAGCCAATAAATGGCAGATCTAAGGTTTAATCCAGGGTTTGTCTGATTACAAAATTTGAACTTAAAACCACTATACCATATTGTATCTTTAGAAATATATTTTATGTTGGTAGTAAACATTACTTATATTTGCTCATTAGTTCATTTACTTGCTATTAAAATTCTTTAAAAGACTTCTGTATTGTCATTATATGTGATAGCATCATACATTATTACTTTGAATTTCATTTTTAAAAGTCCCAAAACACTTCAGTGAATGGAGAATGTATCCCTCTCTAACATAGCAGATAACCACTGCAGATGTCATCCTGTTACCCCACCTAAAATCCTTTAATGTTTCTCATTGACCCAAGGCTCTCTGAGCATCTTCCACTTCTGCAGCCTTATCTCTTCCACCTGTATTCTACATTCTAGACTTACTGGACAGCTTTCAGCATTAGACTTTTTTTGCCTCAAGTGTTCACCAATGTCATAAACTTTGCTAGATACTGCCCAGAACACCCTTAGTACATCTTTCACTTGCCCAGCTCCTATTCTTTCTTCAGATTTTGTTGCTTTTTTCACAGAGATTTTCTCTGACTAATGGACTAAGTTGTACATGCAGGGTTTCTTGTAGTTCTACTGTTATAGCATCAAAAATACTTTAGAAGCACATCTTTATTGAGGACTAATTCACATATCAAGTTAATTCAAAGTGGCTTTTAGTACACTTAGTATTTTCATATGTAATAAGATATATAGTTATTACCCATTATTTTAGAACATGGAAATGACCTCAAAACAAACTCTTTGTCCTTTAGCTGTCATCCCATAGCCCCCATCTATCCTGTCCAAAGAAACCGCTGACATACTATTTCTGTAGATTTGCCTGTTCTAGATATTCCATGTAAATGGAATCATATAATATATGACCTTTTGGGCTGGCTTGCTTTTTTTATTTATTTTTGCAGTACTGAGGATTGAATTGAGGGTCTTTGCACTGAGCTACACCCCTAGCTTTTTGAAATTTTATTGAGATGATGTCTTGCTAAATCTCTGAGTTGCCCAGGCTGGGCTTATATTTGTGATCCTCCTGTCTCAGCCTCCTAGATTGGTGTAATTGCAGTAAATCATGTAGGATCATGCAGGTTAATATGGAGAATTTGCAATTAGAATGGAGTCTACCAGGAAGCCCTCTGAGAGCTTGTAGCAGAAAAGTAATGCTGACTTATAATTTTTAAAAAATTGTTCTGAATTCTAGGTAGAGCTTTTAGAACAATTAGGAGTTTGTTATGGTACTCTGGGTTAAGAGATAATAGGATTGGATTGTATCTCTGAGGTGTCTTGTTATTTAACAATTTATGATTCTAGGCTACCTGCATCTATGTTTTATTTTGAATAATTTCCAAGTATCAGTTTTGGCCTGAGATCTTCAGAATTTTCTGAAGATCCATTGGTAGAAGCATGTTACCGTTGTTTTTCCCTAAGTGGTACCCTTATTATGTTACTATTTGTTCCCCCAAAATTGGTTAATAAGGATAATTATCTCTAGTGTTTTTTTGTTTTTGTTTTTGTTTTTGGTACTGGGGGTTGAACTTGGGACCTTGTGCTTGTGAGGCAGATGGCAGCACCACTGTGCTAAGTCCCTGGCCCTCTAGTGTTCTTAAAGAAGGGATATTTGCAAGTTTGGCTTCTCATATTATTACCTTGTTCAAATATATCCACTGTTTGGAATAGTGGTAAACTTTACTTAAACAGTGGAAAGGCAAAATATTTCAATATCTAACACAATGCCTAATATGTTGTGGCTACTAAATAGTTCATTGTCTGTTATAAATGAACTGTTCCTGCTGGCTGAATTCAGCACAGACCACCAGTTTATGTGACCTTTGATATTCATAATTTGTCACACAGTTCTTATAACTACTTGGTGTTTGTAGGGATCCCCATCGTGTGAAACAGGAATCCCAAACTCTGAGCAGTTGTGATGTTCCTCGTGTAATCCTCGAAGAATTCACATGAAATAGGCAAGGCATTGCACAGAATGTATAGTGATGAAACAGAGTCACAAGGAGAGTGACTTGTCCAACTCCTTATTTTCTTGTGATATGGTTTCTTCATAGTACTTATTTCTGGGTCATTTATATTTCGCAGAATGAAATCTAGCAGGAAGCCCTCTGAGAGCTTGTAGTAGGAAAGTGACATGATCAGATTTATAATTTTTTTTCCTCATTGAGTTTATTGGTACATTTTAGGTATACAGTACAGTTACATTCATTATTGGGATCTTGTGCCTTTACCTGACAGGTCTTAGTTCTCATTTTTTCCCTTTGTGATGATTTATAATTTTAAAAATTGTTCTGGCTTCTAAGTAGAGGTTTCATAACAATGAGCTCTTTGTGGTACTCCAGGTACTGCATTTTGTCTCTGCAGTCCCTTGCCATTTCACAGTTTATGTTTCTAGGAAATATATACTATAGTATTTGCTTGTCAGCCCCACTAGATATACACTCTCTGAGGAACTATATAAATGATATATTCTGTAACAAATTACCCCCAAACTCAGTGCCTTAAAAGAGCCAATAGTTATTATTTTGCAGTTTCTGTGGGTCAGGAATTAAGAAGTGGCTCAGCTGAGTGATTCTAGCTAAAGATCTATCATGAATGTGTAACCCATATGTCTGCTAGGGCTGAAGGCCTGACTAGGTGTAGGTTATCTGCCTTAAAGGTAACACACGGCTGGCTGGTTGCTGGAGGCCTCAGTTCCTTACCATGTAGGCCTTTCTTCATGACATAGCAGCTGGTTTCCTCCAGAGTGAATCATCCAAGAGAGAACTAGATAAATGCGTCTTAATATATAAATTTATAACCTAGAAATGGAAATGATATATGTTCATAAATGCCTTATTCTGTTGGTGGACTAATCTTGATTTGTTGTACAGTGGGCTACATAGGGGCATAAATAACTGGAGGTAGGATTCATTAGTGGCCATCTTGGAGACTGGCTACTACAGGTATTCACTCTGTCTTGTTTACTGTCTTAGCCCCACTCTCCAAAGGAGTGCCTTGCTTATGATGGGTTCTCAGTAAATATTTTTTGAATAAGTGGATAGATAGATTTAGACTATATATAAATTTATTGTGTATATTTAGAGAAATGAACATTCATGGAGCCATAAATTACTAAAGTAGAATGGAAGATGGTTGTCAAATGTAAAGAGAAAGGGTAATTCACTTTATTTTTGATTTTCTTTCCCTCAGATGTGGAAACACGAGGGCTTCTTTGCACTCTATAAAGGATTTTGGCCAAACTGGCTTCGACTGGGACCCTGGAACATCATTGTATCCTTTTAAGACATGAGAATAAAGCAAATGTTTCAAGATTCCAGGTAAGTCCAGGTTATGGGAAGGAAAATTTGATTATTAAAGCCTTTGGACAAGTAAGAAACTATCCCATTGATGACTGTTGAGGATGGAAGTAAATAAACAGCCATCAATTGGAGGCTAATAGAGACTAAAGTGGATAGAAAAGATATGCCAAACTTTCCTCTTGTCCTCTTTGAAACAAAATGATGGTGGGGGAGGTAAAGTTATAAGGGAGGGTAATAGAAGGATAGATATGATCAAAATACGTTATATACATGCAAGAAAATGCCACAATGAAACCTAGTATTTTGTAAGATTAACACACGCACACACACACACACACATATACACATTTAAAAAAAAGTGACAACAAACACATCCAGTGTGAAAAGGGCAAGGACGTTTTTAGAAACCTTGATGGGAAACCAGGTACTGTGGTTCATGCCTGTAATCCCAGCATTCTAGGGGGCTAGGAGGATCTCAAGTTGAAGCCCAGCCTGCTGGGCTATTTAGTGACTTAGCAGACTCTGTTTCAGATCTTTTGCAAGAGGGAAGGAGAACAAGAGATGGACAGAAAAGGGAAGGGGATGAAAAAGAATTAAGATGTGTTTTGTGCATGTACCAGTCCCTACGAGGAGTGTAAGCATGTACTGTGAACAGGTACTAATAAATAAACTTGAAAAAGGGGATTGACAATATAGTTCAGTGTGAAGGTCCTGGGTTCAATCCCCAGTATCCACCACCACCCCCGACAAAAAAAGAAAGAAAACTTGATAAGAGATGCACTTGTGGGTCAGTCTCCCTCCTTTAACTGTATTTGAGTGCCTCCTATGTGCAGAGCTGTGTAATGGATACTATGTGTGGTGCTGTGTGTAAATTGCTCAGTATTGCAGGTTTGAAATTAATTCCCTGACCTTGTTGGGTGGGAGTCTGTAGGAGGACAGAGATAACATCTCTTTCTCAAACCTTTTGGAATTGGCCTGAATACCTAATGAGTAACTACTACTCAAACATTGAATTATATGTCATTATGGATGTTCTTGGGTATTGTGGGTGTATATTGTTTGCTCACACTGAAAATCATATTAGTTTTGATCCATTTATATTGCTAAACGACCGTGATCATAGTGGGCACATAGTAGGAACTCAGCACATTTGATCTGACAGGGGTTGCTTTTAAAAAACTTTTAAGGCGATGAAACTTAGAGTACCACAAACTAAATACTTTAATTTAAGAGAATGCATTGCACCATTTAGAACTGGGTTTGCCTTTCAGTATCAATTAAGACATTTTCCATGACTTACTCTTCAGTTTTTTATTACATACGAGCAGCTCAAGAGGCTTCAAATCTAAGAACTGGGTATGTGAGAGCCCAGCTCAGCCAGCCTTTCTACTACTGTTCTTCGTTACCCTTTTTCGTGTTCTAATGTATATTGACAAAGTTGTGTTTACCGAACCAGTGGTCTCCCAACTCCTCCTGATCAAAGAACAACAGGATATGGTTCAGCTTTGTTCATGCATTTGTGTTACCATGTTAACTTTTCCCTGAGAGGGAGTGTTAACATTGAAACTCTGGTGCCAGATTGGTATCTTCCGTGAAGATGGATACTGATGGGTAACATTCAAAATGGCCTTTTTTCCAAATGTGGGTTAAATGTAGTTTGTTGGCCCCCAGATCTGGGTAAGAGCAGAAGATTTAGGCTGGCACAGTTACTGAAATGTGTGTTGTAGACCTTGGTTCTCATTAAAGTATTTATTGGCAGAATCACTTTGACTTTGTCTTTACTTACTATTTTCCCTTTTGCCAACTCTTTTTAAGTTACAGTCTCCTAAAAGTGATAAAGAGGTGACTATGAAATTGATCCTGGTCTCTTAAAGTACACCTTTTGGGAATAGAATAATTGCATTGTGCTTTCTCACTGCCATTTATTGTCATGATACTTGCTTCTAAACATCAGGCAAGTAGTTCTTTCCTAAGTATGAATAAACAAGCAACTGGCTCATCTGAAAGTTTCTGCAGATAAAATGGTTAGAGTCAAGTGAAATGTTCTAACTACTTTCTTGTACTAGAATAGGCACTAATTTTTGATGGAATGAAAAGTTTAGGTCTTCATCTTTTTCCACTCATTTGTTGTTCATTTGTTATTTGCTCATTTTCTAGATGCTGAAATATTAAAATGCATAAAAGAAGACTGGGTATGGTGGCACACACCTATAATCCCAGCACTTGAGAGGCTGAGGCAGGAGGATTGCCACAATTTTGAGGCCAGCCTGAGCTGC